GCTCTTCACCTGTGATCCACTCCTCACAGGAGCCTCATGGTGAGTGGTTGGGCATGAGGAAAGGGACATGTCAATCTTTGCATTAAATTTCAGGAGTTTGCTTCTCATCCCTGTGATCTTCACGTTTCTTCTCATGACATGATGACCAGGACCAGAAGGAGCTGAAATTGAATGAACATCCTCCCACAGCCCTTCTGCCAGACTCCAGTAAAGCCTTCCCTTAAGACAGGAGGCCATTGTTTCTGAACATTGGACACAAGGATTGCTCTTCCCCTCCGCCTGCCAGAGCCACAGGGGAATCTCAGATCTTCACCACAAGAACCTGGGGGGCTCCAGCAGGTACCCATGGAAGGATGGAGGGCCCCTCACACTTCAGCCCTGGGAATTTCTCACTCCTATGCTAGTCAGAAAGTCATCAGAATCACCAGTTAGTGTTTTAACTAGTTACCAACTCAAGTGGTCTCTGGTCCAACTAAGCAGGTCAGGGCTGTGACTCTCCAGATTCTGTGCGGGCAGCTTGTTCCACAAACTCAGTTCTCCAATTGAACCAAGAAATACCGTTGATTTTCATGTGTTCAGCTTTTCCTTGATTTAAGAACTAGAGTAACAACTTCCATGTACTGTATATGTTGGAGCTAAAATTGGAAGTCTGCTATAATTTTTTTAATCACTAGCGGTTGGTGCCTGAGGCTTCAGCTGGAAAATTTAAATGCATGGAGCGAGAATCACCCAGAAGTTTGCTGACACATGCGTCTAGTGATCGATGCTGATGCTGCTTAGAAGGCTTGCTGGGACCATTGACCAGAAAATCCATTCTTGGCCTCTCCGGGCAGCCAGAACACTTCCCTATGTGATGGTGGGTTCTGAGGGCAAATGGAGAGATAGGAGAGAGAAAGAGCGAGGAAGGAAGGAAGGTTCAGGTGGGGAGGGAGCTGGACCCTCAGCATAGAAGTCACACAGCTTCATCTTACCTCCACTGCACCCCACTGGCAAGGGAAACCACAACCCCACTCCCCTCACCCCCCCACCCCACCCCGACTCAGTACTAAGGGGAGGAACTCACCCCCACCTCTCAGAGGGAGGAGGGTCCTGCACAGGGTAAGAAGGAGTTGGCTGAATGTATAGCTGTGGTCATCTGTGGAAAATTTAACTTGCTATATGTCAAATATGGGGGATTCTAAGTTATCTGACAAGATTAAAATATAGTATCTCAAGAATTTTAGACCTCACCATCCTGTGACTCTGACATAATCTTGCAATGACTTTTTCATATTTTTATTTTGAAATACTAACAGACTTACAGAAGAGTCAGAGAACCTTTACATTCCTGAATCACCTCTGAGCAGGGTGCTGCCCATCACCTCCGAGCACGTCAGTACGCGTTAACCAACCATGGAGATATGTCCCACTTAACCATGATACAACCATCAAATCAGGAAGCTTGAACTGGTGTAATACGACCGCCTCGTCCTCAGACCTCACTGCAGTTTCACCAGTGGTTCTGAAATGCCTCTGCTGTAAAAGGATCCAGTTCAAAAACTTGCACTGAGTTTAGCTGCTTCGTCTGTGTGTCAGCTTCAGAATGTTACTATTCCTCGGTTCTCATTTTTTTCTTAATTCATGTGACTTTGATGGAAACTACAGACGAGATTTTGTAGAATCCTCCTCGGTTTAAATTTGCATGATGTTTTCTCGTGATCCGACAGATGATCCGTCTTTCACAGAGACACCACGGCCACACATGTTCACTTCCTCACGTCCTATCGCCCAGGACATTGTCTTCACTTATCTCAGCACTGAGGATGTTCACTTTTATCCCTCGGTTAAGATCATGTCTGTTGGGCTTCTTCACTGTAAAATTATTTCCTTCCAATTTGTAACTAATACGTATTTTGTAGGGAGCTATCTTACAATGACGTCAAGATCCCATTTCTCACCAGACGCAGTTCATTCATTTCCAGCAATATGTACTCACGGTTTTCCTAACACATTCAACGTGTGAGAATCTATTGCGATCACTGTGTGTTTTGATGCTCAAATTTCCCATTTTGTCAGCCCTGTGTTGGAAGACACAGACAAGCTGGCTCCGTGTCTTTTAACACGTCTTCATCATGCCCTGAGTGTGCCTTGCTTTCTAGCACGACCAGGCACTCCTTGACCTTCCTACCCCTGCCCTGGAATTAGCAGACTCCCTCAGGAATCCTGGCTCTTTCTAGCAGAGAATGGGCTGTAGAAGTCAAGATCTGGGTACCAGGTATCCTGTTGTCACTGAGATGTCACTGCTTTCAGGCCCCCTCAGTGGACAGTCGGGAAATATAGGTGAGCAGATACTTAAGTTTATTACTTCTTCCTATCTCTATCCTTATATGTTGGAGACCACAAGTTGGGACATCCAATACCAATTCAATACCATAGGGTTAATTATAGTTTTCTCTCCTTCTATCCTGTAACTCCCTTCTCCAACAGTGAGGAAACCTGGTCCCCATTATCCTATCTGTATTTGTTTAATCAATTCCCCTATAGATGACCAGTCTCCCATCTGCACTGACTGACCTCCTCCTGTGTGGGTGCCTTTCCTGTTTCACTCAGATTCCCCATGCTGGGCCACCTCCCTGTGAGGATGGACATTGTCCTCATCTTGCATCTGACAGCTGCTCCAGGCTGTCCTTCCACATGGGCCCCTCCTTGCCAGGCTGCTTCCCTGTGGGAGGCTGAGGGATGGACCCCCAAAGATGCTGAGAAGGAGGTGCCAGGTGCCCAACCCTCGCCGCCCTTGACATTGACAATCTGGCCACCACTATGCGTTCTGAAGCCATGGAGGCTAATCCCAGCGTCCTTAGGGGACACTTAGGTGCAAACTCACAGGACCTCTCCACGCACACTCCTGGCCATGACTTCCTCTCTTGCCCGGACTCACTGGCCCTTCTGCAATAAATTGTTCAGGACTAAACAAATCCAGCATCTTCTCAACTTCTTCCTTCTCAAAAGATAAACTGGCTCTCCCTAGGGACGCTGTACCCTCTCAAGCACACGCTGTTTTTTTGGTTTTTTGTTGTTGTTTTTTTTTTTACCACACCTGTCTGCTGGTTCTTGTGGCCCTCCAGGCAAATCCCCACTTCTGAGCCTCTGCAAGGATGTTCCCTCACCAAGAATCCAAATGGCAACCTCCTTCGCTCTCACAAGCACTTCTTTAAATGCTATCTCTTCGGTGAGGCCAACTGCACTCTGTTTAAACCTCTGGCCCTCCCACCCATCCCCACATGGTCTTCCTAACCCCCCATTTCCCTTGTTTTCACACTCTTCCATGCACCTTTGAACACTCCATGCAGTGAGTGCTGGGCCTTGCTCACTGGCTTCCCTTGTTCCATCTCAAGTTCCCCAAAGGCAGGAGTCCTGCTCTGTTTTACTGATGAAGGTACCTCAGGCCTTTACAGCTTCACCAGGCACATACTGTGGGCTCCAATAAATAGTTATAGAGTCAGAGAATGAATTCTCACCATGATACTGTGAGGAAGGCACAATTATTTCTCTTTTCCAGACAAAGAAACTAAAGCTTAGAAGCTACAAATAATTCACGAAATGTCTCCCTGCTTATAATGCCCTTATGCTTCAAATGCGGGCCTCTTTCCTACAGCTTTCTTACACCACCACCCATGTCCAGCAGTGTTTTCCCGGGAATGGGGGAGGTACACCCCGAGATGGAGGAAGGATTGGGCACATGGAGGAAGTGGTAGAAATAGATCCCCGTGCGCTAGGCCAACTTTGGACCACACGCCAAATCAGAAGCTCTTACTTGAGTAGTAACATAATTAAACCTGTGTCTCAGGAGAGGACTCAGAGCTGCCACCCAGAGAAGGGAAAGCCAGCCCATGGCTGGCTGGGAGCGCTCATGTAATGGGGCCTAATGTGATGCTAAGATTTCCATAGCTAAAAACGCCTTTCTTCGGCTGGCTTATCCACAGATTGTTCCTTCACTCCAGTCCTCACTTAGAAAAAGTCTGACACAGCGTAAGTAGTTGTGAGGTTACATTTTATTCATATATATTAGATATGGGTAGACTAAACAAGTGAGATGCTTTCCATGGGGTGCAGTCACAGTGCCAATAATCCCAGGAAGCCCCGGGCATGACATCTCTCGAGATGCCACGTTTTCTCAGGACACAGGTCATAAATCTATGGCCTGGCATGTACAGGTACTTTCTGACGTGCTATTAGAGCCACGGCTCAGGGTGCACATGTGCCCCAAACAGGCACCCACCGGCCTGTCGCTTCTCTACAAGGGAATTAAGCGCTCAGGTCAGCTGCTTGCTCGGCCCCTGAGACAAAGCCTCGTAATCACGAGCCTCGTAGTCTTGTGATTAGTCACAAAAATGAAGGGTTAGGGGAAACAGGCACAGGATACAGAAATTATAAATAATACATATATTAATAGTCATTTTCATTACATAAAAGTTGCTATTATAAATACATCTTTGATGAGTCTAAAATACATTCATCATATAAATAAAGTTAAATATTAATAAATAGATTTAGATTTAAAAATTCGAACATCGCAGGGGGACAGTGGTTACTTGGGTGTTCTCCGACCGCGAAACAGGGTCTGGCTCCTTTTTCTCTTTCTCAGGGGAGTTCCTGGCACTAGACTAACTATCACTTCATAGAGTTCACTGATGGCTTTGCGTTGGACCTGTAGGTCATGTACCTGTTGAGAAAGAAAACAGCAAAATTAATTTCAGGCACACAGGCCATCAGGATATTCTGTTAATGTTACTGTCAATGAGAATGGAAGTGTCCTGACTATCACTATGATACCTTCATATATAATATTTGTTTCTTCAGCAATTGAGACTAAAAATTATAACTAAGATGCTAACTGTGCTACAATAAGGTTGAACAAATATACTGCTACAGAATTCTCAAAATTATATGGTAAAAAGAGCCCTCATGTGGAGTAAATTTAAAAAGACAGGTTTGCAGCCCCTGTATACAATGGCTCTGACTTTGTAGCAGTCACAGAGCCTCACTAAACCTCTGCTTTCTCATCTAAATGCTGAAGAGATTGTTCAGAAGACCTCCATGTCATCAGTCTACCAATTAAATTAATCTCTCCAATCCAATGAGTGGCTGCAGTCAGTGGTTCTCAGCCTTGGTGTGTAGCAGCTTAACCTGGAGACCCTATAAAGTACTCGCACCCCAGGGACAGGAAACAGAAGTCCTGTGTCACTCGGCCTTCACCACACTCCGCAGGGGACTCTGACGACCAGTATACAGCTTAAACTCTTTACCAACTCCAAGACCAAAGGAAACTATAATTTTTAATTTATCCCAAGTTATGTCAGCTTCATCATTTCCATGATGGGATTAAAATGAACATTTATCATATTTGCATGGCTTATTGATAAATAAAATTTAGAACTACGAACAGGAACGACTTCTCCCGTCCCCTGTCTTCACATTTCCCCATTCTAACCAGCAGGTGTGTTTGGGGGATTTCATGCTTGGCAGAGTATAGACCATTTACTTTCTTCTTGGCTCTGCTATTACATTTCTTGCTAAAGATGTAAACACTCTGGCCATCTTGCCACAGGTCTGAGGATGACTGACACTGGACTGATTATTAAAGGGAACAACACAATTAAAATATGTTAGCAACTGAGCCAAAGGGGACAGGAGTCAAGAGTTCACTCATGATTGCCCAAGATGCGGGAGACGGGACCTGAAAGATGGAACCAGCATGGTTTTTTTTTGGCTTTTCAAAGCCCATTTACTACAGAGTAGAAAAGGCTTCACTGTGTGTTTGCGAGTCACAACTTTTACTTTCCAGAGTTCAAAGCATCATCAAGAAACTAAGAGACTCCTAGATAAAATTTTGGAAAATGTGATTTGTCTTTAGGCTTTCAGGTCACCTTTCAGATTGCCAAAGTCATAAAAAGACTCTAGACATTAATTTTATGAGATATAAGACTTGGGAGTCCAAGAATTTCTCCAGCTGAGATATTCTGGAAGTTGATAGAATAATCTTTATCACAAGGTGTAAATTCTACCTATTTTTTCCCTGAAAACAAACAGCAACCATTCTCACTTCTAAATGGGGGACCCAATTTGCAGGGCTGAGCAGACCCCTGCAGGGTGGCCCAGGGCCTCTCTACAGGCTGCAGCCTCCTGCTATCTCAGGCTCAATTTCTACCCACGGCTCAGTGGAGAGTTAGAGTGAAGAGAACCATAACATGTTCCTGTAAGATGAAGAGCCTGAGCCCCAGCCAGGCCTGTGATTCATCTGTGGTCACAGGCCCTTGGTAGCTGAGTTGGGAGGAGAACTTGAATCTTCTCAGCCCCTCCCACTGCCCTTTCCACCAAGACACAGGGCCTCCCATCCAAAGCAAGAGTTTCCAACACACAAACAAGGGCTCAAGGAGGCAAGTGCTTCTCAACACTCCCCTCACTTCTTTGCCTACTTCCTCCTCAGCTGCATCTGTTTACTTGCCTATCTTCACGCGATAAATTACAACGGCAGCAGAGTTCCACACACGTTCAAATGGTTCCCTTACCAACTTAGCAAAGTCACCCAATGCACTAATGGAATAGGAAAGAAAGGGTTTGGGCCATGGATTGATTCCATAACTTTAGCAACTATTAAATGGCTAATATGCTATTTAATTAAACTAAATGCTTTCCAAGAGCCTCAGCAATTAAAATAGCCTCACCGAAATTCGAAGCAGGTTTTGGAAGGCCTCTGCCTTGCTGTAGCTGCTGTTGAAGAACTTAGCAATTATCTCTTCCTTGATGGTCTCAATGCTCTTTTTGATGGTCTGGTTGTCTTTATGTTGTTCGAAAAGTTTGAAGTAGAAGGACACAATTTGGCTCTGAATTATTTTGTCACTCTCCTTGGGAGAAAGGAACACAAAGAGAGGATTATGTGAATTTATCTACCAGAAAATAAACAACAGAGAAATTAGCCAAATGGGGATGTCCAGCTTACCTTTTCCCAATTCTTCAAAATATCCAAGAAAAGAATCCCACCACCCGCTGTGTCTGTACTACTTGTATTCTGAAAAAAAGAAAAGAAAAAGTCAGTTCTAAATTGCCCTCAAAATGGACTTCAAGTTTCCTTGAACTCAGATGCTGTCAATATTCACTGGTTTCCTTTCAACCCCCCTGTTTGGTGTTAACAATAAGTGTTCTCCTAAGCTTTTATGTTCAATATAGCCAAAAATATAATGCTCTTTTAGCTTTCTTATAATCCTTAAATTGTAACATCACGGATAAATTCAGCAAGGCTGATGATACTTCAAGTGTCCCAAAGAACTATAGTAAGCTAAAAAAAAGTGGGTCCAAGCTTAGTAAAGTTAAACCTTGCTAAGCCATCCCATTATAGACTCTGCCCCCCAGCTGTACAGGTTTCTGGAATATCTGCCAGTACACCCGCCTTTGGGGTGTTACTGTGTTAACTTTGAAAGATAGTTCCCAGTGTGCGTGTGTGCAGGTGTATGTGTGTTTTAGAGGAAGAAAGGTGGAATTTTACAAGAATAAAATCCATTGCAACTGCTCAAACATTACTGTAACGGCTCCAATTATCATAGCTAATTATGGGCAAGTAATAAAATATTTACAATGTGTAAACTATTTTTATTAACCATAAATAAAACTTTAAAAGAAAGCCATAAAATAAAATTTTGAAAATTTCTATGCCAGAATCATAATTCCTATGAAATCTCAGTCAGGTGACTGAGTTCAGGAGGAATTCGCAGATCACATACACAAAGCAGCAGAATTTTGAAATGGCTTTCTGAAGAAAAACACCTAAAGTAATGTTTAAGCCAAAGCTTTAAGTATCCTACCTTCTTTATCTTTAATTCATAAGTTTACCTTATTACTGTTGTTAATGCTAAGCTTAACCTTTTACTGTTGCCTTCATATTAGTCTGAGGAATTGGAGACCATCGTTTTTCTTCAATATACAATCTAGCTGACTTCTCACAGCTGAATAGGTTCTCACCCCCAAATTATCAAGATGTTATGCCCATCATTTGGAAGATTGATGAATCTCCTCTAAGTCTCTATACAAACTGTACAGAGGGTTAAAACAATAAACTTAATCAAGGAACTCATCCAGCTAACTATTAACAAAATAACCCCCATTCTTCTCAAAATGACTGTGGAGCAGACACAGTCTACCGGAGATCCTATGTAAGTCAACTTTCACTCATTTGCAACCACAAACAAGTATTATTAAAAGGTCATACTTACAAAGTATTCCTTAAGTTGGTCTATTTCGGCTGAAGATGTGACCCGGCAGTAAAAGGCGGAAGACCCCAGAAGGACGCAGAGCTGGACGGCCACGATGTAACTCGTGAACTGCATTGTTTCTGGGAGAGGATGACGGAAAGGCGGGAATCAGAAGCTCCAGAGGACCGAGCTGATCCTTCTCTCAAAGCTGATCCTCTGGTGATCAGAGCAATGCACTGCCCTCCTGCTGCCGCTGGTATTTATACCAAATAAAGGGCTCATCTGGATTACGTATTTTCACAAGTTTTTTAAGATGAGATGGTGACAGATAGGCAGGGATGCTACTTAGTTGTATTAATAACTATGGTTTTGTGGCATTTTGGTGTTGCAGTTAGAATTTCCTTTCAACCCCTTGGTTCCTTTGACGATGAGACAGACCCACTGTGCCCACCTGTGCCATTCTTGTGGGTCCTTTGAAAGCACCTTTTCTTCACACCGTTCAAGGGCTGGAAATTTTTTGGCATCTCCCTCTTTGCCCTTGTGAACTGTGGGCTCCTCATCCACACAGCGAATTGATCATTTGTTTGTGGTTGGGAACAAGTGAAAAAGGAAATTCTAGGGCCTCTCAAACCTTTACCGAGGGGGAGCCTTTTAACATTTTTTAAGGAAAAGATATGGTTAAAGATGAGTGTGGTGAGGAGGCCTTCAGCACCGAGGCTGCTGAAACGTCTACCACACGCTTCGGATTGCACCAGGAATGCCTGATAGAAATGGGGTACAAGCCACACAGGGAGATTTACGTTTTCTCGTAGCCCCATTAATAAAAGCTAAATGGTAAAAATAATTTTTGATAACATAATATTTGAGCCAAAACATCCAGAATATCATTTCAATCTGTACCAATGATCATTATTAATAAGACGTTTTACATCATTTTGTCACTTGTGCCCTGGAAATCGAGTGTCCATCTTATGCCCACAGTGCATCTCAATTTGGACTGGCCATGTTTTGAAGGCTTCATAGCCCCACATGGCTGCTGCAGTGAGCAGTGGATCTGCAGGTGATGAATTATTCCAAATGATCGTTAATAATAGAAAATCCTTCCTTAACATTTATTTATTTTCCTTTCAAGTATAAAAAAGAAATTCTCTCTCCTCCCTTGCCAATTTATTCATAAAGTGCAATAATTCAGGGTGACACAGGCCCTCCCCTCTTTGGCTCCAATCCACTTTGCATTTCCACCTGCACTGTGAATACTGAGAAAAACACTACGGTTATACATGAACCCCAGCTCTCCCACCATGCAGCAACATGATGGTGAGGAATAAGACTCAATTTCCCTATCTGTATAATGGGCCTTCCATGTCATCATCCTGTAGGCTCAGCTGAAAGTGGAGTGAGACGATCCACGTCATGTGCTGAGAACTTTGTGTGAGGTACAGTAGTCACTCCATAAATGTTATCTACTGTTTTTCTGGAACATTGGACAAGTAGTCATTTCTAAAAACCATACCCTGAACCTTTGTTCATGCAGTTCCTCTGGCCTTGAGTTCCCTTTCCTCAGAGTCCTACCAGCCACTCATGCCCAGTCTAAAAATCACCCTCTCCATGAGTTCTCTCAAAATTATCCTCCTTGAAATTGAACTCACATTCTCTGTATAAGTCTTGGTTTATCCCTTTATCAGAGTCCTGATTCCTTGATCTCCTCGTGTGTTTTCTGCGATACTGAGTCTCCTAACATCCGAGGTTGCTTCCTGGCTTCTGCAATGCCCTTCTCTCCCTGGAAACACTTTACCATCTGCTCATGTCACTGGATAAATGCAGATTTGCATGCTTACTTAAGGACCTATTTTGAGTTACTTGCCCTCAGGTTCTAATTTCAATGTTATTAGGCCTAATCTATAGGAAACTAGTTTTTAATGAAATGAGATTTGTGACCTGGTATCATGGCTTGCACCTGTATTTCTGACAATTTGGGAGGCCAAATTGGTGTTAGAGACCAGCCTGGGCAACATAGCAAGACACTGTCAACACAAAACAAGTGAAAAAAAAATGCAACTAGCCCAGCATGGTGGGCACCTGTAGTCCCAGTTACTTGGGAGGCTGAGGCAGGAGGATCACTGGGATCCAGGAGTTTTAGGCTGCAGTGAGCTGTGATTGTGCCACTGCACTCCAGCCTGGGCAACAAAGACCCTGCCTCCAAAGAAATAACTAAGTAAGATATGTGATTAATTTAGAAATGTGACACTGTGTCTCTGTCACAAACACCTACTGACTGAGACAATTCTATGTATTATGATATGTGAAAAAAGCCAAAAAGCTCTTTGAGGCTCTATGTTCCCATAGAACAAATAAGATGAAAACATTTCATGCTAAGCAAGTGAGCACAGCAGCCATGGCGGGTTCACAGCTCACGCAGAGCTGTGCTGGCGCCGCCTTGGGGAGAGCAATGTCCCGGACTGGCTCATGGAAGTGACAAGCAGAGAGACTCCCCTAGCCTGAGACACGCTTCAGGCACCAGTACCTTCCAGGGCTGAACCCTGAGTCACTGGAAGAAATATTCTCAACTTTCTGCCAAGGGCTAAAAAGTAATTGTTCCCATTCCTTGACTTCCCCACTGGAAGGCAGTGTGACTGGTGAGGAAGAGTTGAATCCACACACAGGAACTGCGCACAGCCCAGGCGTCTGGGAGTGGAGAAGGCCTCTCCGTCCACCCATCCGAGCACGGTACTAAGAACGCGTCTGTAATAAGGCCGGGTGTTTAGGCTCGGTGACTACACGGCTGAAACCCAAGCTGCAACGACTCCCCAGGGTATGATCAAGCACGGGATTATGAATTTGTAGAGATTACCCGTGATGGGTCCCTTCACATTTTAGGACTCAGAAAGACAAGTGCTTAAATTCATTCAATGCAGAGCTGGGTCTAGAACCAAGATCTCTTCCATAATCAGGATCTCTTCCATTCCCTAATCATCCAGCAGCCATCAAGATTATTACTGTCTGTGCCTGGGACTCTGTTAGATAACTGAGTTCCATCAGTTACCCCTGTCAGCCTTTGGCTTCTGAGACTTTTTTCTGTAGAATCTGTGACATAGTAGTCACACTTTATGTCTTCAACAAATAATAATAATGCAAATAAAAGGTTTTAAAATTCTTATCAGACATCCCAGCAGGCCATACTTCTTAGGCACACAGCCTGTGGGTCTGTCAGGCTCCAGAGCAGCTCACATTTCACTTAATGCTCTGTTTTCTCCATCTGAAATGCCTAATAATTTTTAAGCAGGAGGACTACATTTTGGGGGGGGATTTTTTTTTTATTAAATCACAGCTGTGTACATTAATGCACTCATGGGGTACAGTGTGCTGGTTTTATATACAATTTGAAATATTTTCATCAAACTGGTGAACATAACCTTCATGTCATTGTCTTAGTTTTTGTGTTAAGACATTTATATTCTACATTTAGAAAGATTCACCTGTACCCTTGTAAAATGAACCATAGGTGTGGTCCCACCAATCACCCTCCCTCCACCGATCCTCCCCGCTCCCCTCCCCTCCCTCTTCCCTTGGACTGGTTCCTACAAATTATGTAGCTGCTCTTGCATCCCAGGCTGAAAGAAAATCATCTGCTATTCGATTTTCATCACAATTCTTTGGTTCAGAATGTTGTCACAATAGCATGTCCTTTCGTGATCTTTTCCTGCCTCTTCACCTTTACAAACCGAGAAATGTCTCTCCCTTTTCTGCCCATAAAGCACCTCATGCTCACATGCAAACTAGAGGTTTCACACTCTGTCGGCTCATCCAATACTGAGAGTGCAGAAGAATTCACCACCAAGATATCCTTTAAAAGTTTTGCAAAGCCACCAGGAGCCAGGGTGTGACTATATTGCTAATACACAGGGGCTGAAACTTTCTTTTTTTCTTTTCAGCTAGACTGTCTTTCTGAAAGCTGGCTATGCTCAAGCTGATGCATCAGCGAGGTTTCGGCTGTGTCTCCTGCAGTCGGGGAGAGGGAGCTTACACTTTGGTCGCCCTTTTCCCCTTTGATCAGCAGTCATATCCCTGCCACTAACTATGACCAAATTATCTCATCCAGCCTTGGGGTAGATTTCTTCCACTCGGTCTGAGTCAGCCTTGGATCTGGGCCCCCACGCTGTTCTGGCTTCTGGAACTCCTGACATCACGCAAGCTGAACCTCCGGAAGCAGCGTGAATGGAAGTCTGCACGGAGTCAGAGTACCCCGAAGTCTGACTCATAAAATCCCATATGTTAAAGGAAGGTTTTCTGAATCCCCCTTTTTCTTCTGTGCCATTCAGGCGACTTTGAGAGGTGGTTCAAAACTGTAGCAGGGATTCTGCTTACATGGTACCAACATCAGGCTATAGAGTCTCAATTTTGTGTCGGATGGAACTGTGCATTGGTAATCTAGAGATTCATGGTCCTTCTGTGAGGGTTATATTTTTGTTCTATGAGGAATTTTAAAGCATTTACTAAGACCCAAATACTATGATGGACATAGGATTACCAGAGGTTGGAATATTTGTTCATATCCAAATTTTGATCAATTATATTGTCTTTCCTAAGCAATTACTGCTTGCCCACAGCTTTAAAGATGGCAAACACATTGACAGTGAGACACCGTGGCAGGGATGTCACCACACTGGCAGTGAGGACAGGCGCCCTGCTGCCCCAGTCCTGCTCAGGCACCGTGTCGCTCTCTTGCCTGTGCCTTTCCCCCACTGACCTCGAGAAACAAACTGACCTCAGGGTGTCCCCTGAAATGATGCTAAGCTTTGAAAATGTGTGCATTTCTTCAAAGGATCCTTAGTCCGCTGTCTCCTATCATGAAGATCCCATACAGCAGGCCAGCAGGTTCACGGTCTCCGCAGGATGCCGGGCAGAGGCATTCTGGATTCATGACAACCCTGTCGATATGTATTTTTTCCTTTACCAAGGTTTGATATGTCCTTGTTACTATGCCTACAACCCCTGAACCAGTCTCTGAAGTACCTGAATGAAATTCTCATCCATTATTTTTCAAATGGAATAGTTTTCAATGGTTAAAAAATTAGGTATTTTAGGCTCGGCGCCTGTGGCTCAAGTGGCTAAGGTGCCAGCCACATACACCTAAAGTGGTGGGTTCAAATCCAGCCCAGGCC